GGCAGAGTGTGCTGATTAGCATGTAATTTGATTTGTTAGGCACTACAGCAAACAGCATTAAGTGTAAGATGCAGTGATTGCTCCCAATAGCACCCTTTCAGCATTGCCTCGGTTCCTGCAGCAGCATGGATGGAGCTGTGTTATGACTATTCAGTAGGCACCAGCAGAGCCGATGGTGCTCCTTTCTTGGGCAGAAGCTTGAGTAACACAAATATGTCCATTTTAAAAGGTTTTGGGTAGCTGTATCTATAGAGCACAACTCACAGGTTTCTCCTCCTATCCCTAATCCTTCCCCATTCCCTGGTGGTGCAGCTGGGACCAGCATTGCTGTGGGTTGCTCAGCTAGCTTTTGCAGGAGAGGCAGTACCATAGTCTGATTTTCCCCGCCACTATTGTGTTTTCTTCCAGTAAATGTCATGTCTGTATTTTTTCCCATCATGGCTTTGGTAAAGAAAGCCCCTTTATTCCTGTGCCACCATTGGACCATGGGTTGGAGCAGCCCCTCGGCATTGCAGCCCTGAGCTGTATATAGACTTCCCTTCTGGCTCACCTGGTGAAGAACAGACTTGCTTTTGGTCACCTGCCACCACACTCGCTACATTCTTTGTTTGTTGCAGCTGAAGGGCTACCTCCTTCAAACCTCTCATTTACAAACACAAAATGAATGGGCTGCATCTTTTCAGCGTAAGTGAAATCTCACTACAAAAATACCACTTTGAAGCCACATAATGATGCGTCCTTGAACCCACTGCCATCAATAGCAGCTGTTGTTAGGACAGGCTCCTCCAACCCCCTCATGTTGAGTATCATCTTGTGCCACATATGTGGTGTTGAACTCAGCCAGACTATTCACTAGAAAAGGACATGCAAGTAGAGGACAGGCCTCCTGGTTCTGCTCGTCCCCACAAAAATAGCAACAAAATTAGGAGTACGACACCTCATTTCCTTTCATTCTGCGGGGGCGAGCGCAGGAGGAGCTGGACTGAGAGAGACAGCATTTGCTGAGAGACCTGGCACGGTCAGGAGTACGTTGGAGGCTGTCAGGAGGAATTAAGTTAAGGGTGAGTGCCCTGGCACGGGGAGGGTCGGGTGAGGATGCCACATGGGCAGCCCGGCACCACTTACCTCCCTTTGCCTCCACTAAATGCGGGCAACTGCCCCATTGTCTGTGGGATGTTTTCCTAACTAATCCCATTAGGAAATTAAAGTTTCTTATTGACTATGAGAGGCTTGCTGGTTTGGATGACAGAATGGATAGGTGCCTGAAAGAATGTCTTTTTTAATAAAATACTTTGTGCTCTTGATAGAAATTTCATAACATTATGTTGTATACATACTATCTAGCATCCTAGGGAGCTGGAGAGGTCCATCATTTCTCTTCAAAGCACTTAACTCTCCAAGGCTTATCGAACCATTTTAGAAGTAAAAGGTGCCTTTCTCATTTATTCACTTGTCTGGGATGTTTTCTACTTCCACATCTGATTAAATGAGTAAATGCTTTATTTTTTTGTATCATGTCAATAAAGCTATGACAGAGAGATTAAGGAGGTCTAAGGAGAAGCACCTTGCTAGAAACTGAACCAGGGCAATCACAAGCCAGGAGCAGGAGGCTTCACTGACTTGGTAGCCCCAAACCTGCATCTTGAGACAGCTAAGGAAAACAAGCAGTATCGTTCCCATTCTTTGGGAGAAATCAGGGGATGTGGGGAAATGAAGTTTCCTTGCAATTGCTGTGTATATCAATTACAGTTATTTAGAGGGAAGCAATAGGGAGAGGTCAGCATTACTTTGTAGTGCAATGGAGACCTCGCAGGCTGATGAAGCAAAGCAGCAGTGCACAGCATTTATTACTGACACCCTGAAGAGCCAGTCAAGCCTTTGGTCCTTTTGGTAGCACCAAGAAACTGTTTGCAGAGCTGGGCCAGGTGGCCATGGGGGGTGTCCTACCCTGCTCCCACAGGGATGAGACCACCATCAGCCAGGTTTCCCGGTCATCCGACACAGGATATTCTCTGGCCACCAGGATGCACAGCATTTGTGCATTTGCCCACATGGCTGAATCCATGCAGACAAAACCTTGCTGTGTGAGGTTCCAGTATTGCTCCCTGTCTCTCCTGCTGTAGCTTCACGGTCGATTTAAGCTGATGTAAGCACGAGCTGCACTGAAAAGAGGGGAGCAAGTCGCACTGCCCAGGCCTCAGACACCATCCCCATGCAAAAACGTGGCCTTGGCATCAGGTTTGAGACTAAAATACTCTCCTAAGAAAGTGGAGATCCCGCTGGGCCATGCTTCACATTTGCTTCTAGCTGCAATGGTAGTGAAACAAGAGAGTGCAATGTATCAAAGAGCAATTAAAAAAAAAAGTAATATCTTGTTGAATGAATCTGCTGTGTCTTTTTAAAAAGGCAACATACAGTATGCCAGCTGGTGTGCTTTTATTTATCTGATGGTTTTGGGGGCTTCAGAGGACTTCAGCCATCCCGCAGCTGCATTAGGGTGCAAGTCCAGCGGGAAACCCTGCAAATACTAGCACTGATCAGGTGAGGTACCTGTCAAGAGCTGATGGTTCAAAATGTGACTCCAATAGGCCTCGTAGATTCACATCCCAAAGGATGAACGAAATCAATCCCGTGCCATTGATCTGCAGCTGGCTGTGATTTGTGGAGCCCTGTGGGTGAGTGGTGAATATGAGCTACTGCCCGAACTGCCGGCTGCTGCTGTTTGAACCTTGAGAATAAATAACCTTTGACCAGCGACCAACCGTGACAGCTTTGGGTTAGGCGGGAAACATCTCTGCAAGTGCCACAAGGTACCCAATGTGCCACTGACACTAAAAATAAAATCACAATGTTAGAAGTGGAAAAAGGGCTAGATATCAGGGTGATTATAAGAGTTTTCAGGAGAGGAAGGTGAGGAAGATAGTAGAGTTAGCAGAGTTGGAAAGGGACTGTCAAAAGGGAGGAGCTTTGGAGGGAGTTCAGAGAAGGGGAGCAAAGCCAGAGGAAGGTGTGGAAGATGAGACCTGTGAAGAAAGGCCAACGGGAGCAGGCCTGCTCCATCTAAAGCAAATACACACAAGGGAGGCATAACCACCTGCAGACACACAAGGGGGACTCATAAAACAGCTAGCAATCAATTTTCAAATAATGGACCTGATCTTTAAATAAACTACTAAAAGGGAATGAGGGTGGAATAAATACCTGATTTATCATCCCATCTTTTTTGCAGCAGCAGCAGCAATGCAGCTGTATTTTCTTCCCTGAACTTCTCCTCTTCGCCTCCTGAATCATAAAGTCAGGGCAGCACCTTTACAGCTGAGTCTTGTCAGTGGTAAAAGAGGTTTTATGGAGCTGCCAGCCTCCTCCCCCAGCTGCTATTTCGGAGGGATGCTGCTCAAGGTCTTACCAAGCCCTGCTTGAAATGGCCATGAGATCAAGGGGGAGGACTATTTTGAGACAGCAGAAAGCAGGCAGGGGCCTTTTCCAGGACAGGACAGGATTTCATTGAAAAGCTATAGGACCTCTTACCTGTTCCCCTGGGACCAGGAATTTCTCCTTGCCTTACACAGCAGATTTCTGGAATCCTTCAGAAAGCCAATTCTGAACTTGCCTCAGTATAACCATTAGGCTTTACTTTGTTGTAAAGTGAGACCCACCAAACCCTTGGGTTAATCCAGACTGTAGGTGTATTGGTTATTTCCTGTGCCAACAGAGTGAGCAGATACCGTCATCCCTTTCACTTTGCAGTTCATGCCTCCTGTCACTTTGCTTCTGAAACCTCTCTTGCCCCCTCCTGTGCTCCCTGTGTACCCCACAAACACTCCTGTTGCCTTCACCAGGCTCCTCAGGAGAGGGAAAGCAGACAGGAGGAAGGCAAACAAACCCACTCTTGTCAGGAAATAAAACATTTTGGTCAACTAAAGAGTTGACCAAAATGCTTACTTTCTGTAGAGTAATAATTGCTGTAGAGTAACAATTAGCTTTGCTGGGCAGCCAGGTCAACCCAGTTGTCTCTGGCAATCCCAAGCTTGGGAGGTCACGTTTCCTCCAATAGACTCCAGTTTCTTGCTTGCACAGCATTGGCAGGACTCCTCTCTCTTCTCCTCACCCTCTGCACAAAGACCAAAGGAGCCGATCCTTCTTCCTGGACCTCAAAAGGAGTAGGACAATTGCTGTAATGAATCCCACTGGAGTCTGCTGGCCAGTGAGCTGCACCCACCAGGGCATAAATCCAGGTGCTCTCCCAGCACATTGTTTCTCCTTTGGGGGAGGAACAATCATGCCATGTAAATGTGATGATTACAGCAGCTGATACCTCTATTGTTTTTAAGTAGGACCCTTTACGAATGTGGATGAAGGTCCTTAGAGCAGGTTGGAATTAGATCTGAGCCGTCTGTTTGCATCTTTGAAAGGGCGCAGAAATAACCCCCCCTTTCTCTGCTGCTGGGTGCCATTTAGATAGGAACACGGCGGGGCCGGGCTCTCGTCTGGGACGGGGTATCTTTTCTCCGAGATCTGGTGTGTAGATTTAAGGTGCAGGGCTGTGTGTGTCGGAGCAGGGCTCGCTGCTCACACCGTGCACTCTCCTCCGAGCACAGCCCTGCGCTGCTGCGGCCGGGAGAGCACCGGGCTGAGAGCTTTCACTGGAGACACTTGTGGCACGGGCAGATGATGGAGAGAGGAGTAGCAAGTAGGACCTGGGCCTTTCTCTCCTGGGAATAGAGGCGTTTTCCTTGTTTCATAAGGTATTGTGAACACACCTAGATTAGAGACTGGGTTAATATCTTAAAATCTCAGATCCTGTGAGAGGAGGTGGGATAAGCATTTTCCTTGCGTGGATCTCAAAGGTGTTATGTGCGGAGTAAGATCCATGTAGGTATTTTGCGAATAAAATCTATCAAATTATCCATACAGTAGAGGCAACGGCTACAGGTTGTAACGAAGCATAAAGACTTTATCTTTTTTTCCTTTTCTTTCCTATTTCCTTATGACTTGTCCAGATTTTTCCACCATGTTCGGAAAGAAGAAGAAAAGGCTTGAAATCTCTGGGCCCTCTAACTTCGAGCATCGGGTTCACACTGGCTTTGACCACCGGGAGCAGAAATTCACGGGACTACCTCAGCAGTGGCACAGCTTGCTGGCCGACACGGCAAACAGGCCAAAGCCTATGGTGGATCCCTCATGCATCACTCCCATCCAGCTCGCACCTATGAAGGTATCGTGCAAAGTCGCCTTTGGATTTCCTAACCTAATTTTAATTGCATGTAACCTTAATGAAGTAATACCAATAGTGGCTGTCCTGGGAGGCAGGCATGGCTGAGGAGTGTTGAAGTACTGAGAGTGCTGCAAATCCAAATATTTAATAATAGAGCTGCAAGGAAAAAGAGTTTTATTTATAAAACTTGTACAAATGTTCCAGAAGAGCATGAGTCACAGGTCTTGCAGGGGCTGTGCCTTCATGCTCCTGGGCTGCGGAAGAAGTCACAAGTCCCGGTGGAAGCCCAAAATGATGCTCCTCTGCAGCGTGAAGCTCCTTGATAATTAATTTAAGAACGGTGCTTTAGGCAAAGGCAGTTTGGAGCAAGGGAGAGACAGAAAAGTACACCAAAGGAAAAAAATTAAATTGCTTGTTCAGCCGGGCAAGGAGCTCAGGGAGGGATTTCATTGCCACCCGCCACTGCCTGGAGCGGGTAACGCAGGTGGTGGAGCTGAGCTTCTCGCCAGGTGGTAAAATGAGGGGAAACAGCCCCAGATTGTGGCTTGAGACGTTCAGGCTGGGCAGCTGGGAAAAAAAATTGGCTCAGAGTAGAGCAGCACTGGACAGGGCACCAGCACGACTCTGGGATCCCCATCCTTAGAGGCTCAGGATTCCAGTAAACAAATTTGTCCTGATTTAGCAGTGTTTCTGGGGTTGCACATCCTCACATCCCAGTGTATTGCACCGTGTACTCGTGGTAGCCTGTACACTGCTGGCCATGTACATCTTGCCATCAAGCAGCTGCAAAATAAATTTAGTATTTCATTTTCATGTGGATTTTTCTGCAGCAAGGGAAAATCAGATAATCCTGAGAGCACAGATCCTGTATTTATATTTGATAAGTACTCTTTGCTAAATTTACATTTACTGCCTGCTCCTGAAGGACACTCATCACTTGCTGATCAGGACTGCTGGGTGTTGCTACAGGACAAGGGGGATAAAACCAATGTCTTCATTTTTTGCTGTAATGAAATATCTTACTGTATAATAGAGGCCCAGAATAATGAGGAAAAAGGTAGGCAAACCTTTTCCTGCTAGGGAAGGAGAACAGCCTTGTTCCACAGTCTTTCTTAATACCAAATACACCCCTGGATGTTTTGACACAAATGTGTAAAAATGCTTTAAAATGAAAAAAAAATTAGTTTACTGTCTTGCAGCACTACGATCTCTTTTCTGCCATTCCAGAGCTGTAAATCCATAAGCTTTAAAAGTTTTAAAATGTATTAGCTTTCTCAGCATTATACAGGGAAAATGACTCTGAGTCTTTGACACATGCATAGCTTGGTTTATGTGCAGAGTCCCATTGAAGCAATACACACTGCGGGGTTTGAAGGATCAAGCCCTAGATGAGTAATTGCCACGTTTTGAAGTGGAGAAAGTTACTGTTAGTTGTTTCCAAGAAATTGTCCATTGCTTTTCTGTCTGTATATCAGAGGTCTGCATAGGTCTAGATACCTAGATATGTACATATACCTGGAATGCACTTCTGAACTAAACTATCCTGTGCCAGGAAAGGGCTGGGGCCAGGAGCTAAAACGCAGCTCCCAAGCCAAGCTTGTTCTTCCAGTGTGTAGCCTTGGATGCCCAACGCAGCCATGCATCCCACGACAACTTTCCAGGATGCGTGTCCCGGGGACAGGAGGCCTGCAACCTGGTACCCATCTCAGCAGTGGCTGTTGGGCCGAGCAGAAAGAAGCCCGTTTGCAGAGGGACCTGCAGGAAGGGTTTTCTGCATAGATGGATGATGTGAATTTGGAAGCAGATTACCCAAATTTCAGTTAATTACATGCCACCGCTCCAATGATACAGCTAGGTGAGGAAATGGGGTTAAGACTAAAGGGTTCAAGAAATTGTGCCTTCACCCCCTGGTTGCTTTCCCTATCCAAGGCTCAGTTACAGCCTATTGATATGGGCCTCGATAATAGGCCTAGAAAAAACGGGTTAGTATTAATAGCAACTAAGAGACATTGACTGTCATCTGAGAATTTGCTTTTAACTCTATTGCACGATACCACTTTACTGTACATTCATTAGGAATTAACATGCCTTGTTTTGATATAACTCACAGAGAGAAAATGAGTTGTGGCCACTTAAACTAAGAATATTTAATGTTGCTAAGTTAGTTCAGCTTAATCATTTAATTTAGATTATTTTTTCTATGTCTGCACATGCACCAACAGCTTTAGTTCTGTTGAAGGGTTATTTAGGCACTTTCATGACTTGAGTGAGAACTGAAGATTTAAAGTACGCAGTTCGTCAAGACAGGAACCAAAGGTTCCGAGATCTCAATATTATTTACAAGTTTTCTCTTTCCACCCAGCAGTTGATAGTTTAATTAATGCACTTGTGAATGCACTGAGGTGTAGCAGAAGAAGATTCGTAATTGTGTCCTGAGTCACAGTATTAATTCAGACTGAGGCGTTTGGCCACAGTTAGTTCGTGCTGTGGTTGCGGGTCACAGAGCAGCACTCTTCAATCTATTCTCTGTTTCATTACTTCAGTATTGACTACCTGTATAGTGTGACGCAGAACTGTTCCTACTAATAGGTGCTTCTTCCTGACTGAAGAGTAGCACAGGTCATAGAGGCAGACTTTGTGGGCGCAGTTTCTTGTTTTTGAGACAGAATTGGTGTTTGCTTGCTTTGGGCTTCACCCAAAACTGAAGCAGAGGAAGTGAAAGGCTTTTTTTGACTTCTGTAGGTTTTGCAGCTTTCCCATTTAGTGGTGTTTGCTTGTTTTTCAGTCTGCAAAGCAGATAGGCTCTGATGGTACATAGTGTATCCCTTTGGGTAAAACCAATACATGATAAATATTCTCACTGCTCCATCTATATTCAAAGGCAGCCAGCAGCGATGATGAAGAGGCAGTGCCCTGGGCTCCCAAATATCCTGGGGGATGTCATCGCCCTGCCTCTGCCTTGGCTGGGATGAAAGGCTTGTAGTGCTTTTACACACGGGTGGCGGCGGCTTGTCATGGTAATATCAGTGTTTGAATCCAAACCTGAGCTGACTGTACAAATTCATTCATTTCAAGTACGAGGAGAGACAATAATGGGATTCCCCGTCTCGGTGTGGGTGACCCAGATACCAGCAGAGTATTGTGTGTATCAGATGCTAACACAAGTCAGTAAAACACAGCAGAAAATTTCATGAAAAAATAGAAAGTGACAGTGATCTTGATAGGTTTGGGGTGCGGAGACAAAGGGCTTTGAAAAAAGGCTGATTTTTCATTGAAAACACCTCTGGATGAAAAATGTGAACCGTCTGTGTCTTCCTGTACTTAAAATAGGCTTCATGAAGCCTGAGATCCTGATGCTAGGTCTCTCAGTCCTCTTGCTTCATTAGTTTGTAGTTGTCCTATGTGTATCTGGAGCTCACGGTTTGCATGTTTGCCCTCAGCACACGATATGCTTGGCTTCTTAGCTACACAGGAGCTTCAATTTGTTGCCATCCCTGGATTTTTGGAGAGCTTCAGAATCAATAGCTAAGCGAATGCATTGTCTTTAGGCAGCAAAACTCCTTCTTTGTGGTTTCTCCGCTCTGCTCAAAATATAGGGAAAACAAGCACCAGAACCCTCATTTTGAGGATTGTTGCCAAAAGAGCTTAGCATTAGCTATGTAAAGATGCTCTGTTAAGATGCTTGAATGTCTGCTGCTGTCAGAGGGAGCAGGACGGCGCTGAAGACTTGTTAAAATCCCTTCTCATGTTTCCCAGTGCAGTGAACAGCTAAGAGACTCCTCACTTCTGTCGAGTTACTGGAGGAAAAAGTGCCATTTGTTTCTGAAAAAACACCACACTGGCATTACTTTTCAGCTGTCTGTGCCAGTGCATGAGTGAAGCCTCCATCATTTTGCTTTTGTTGATGCTTTGGGTAGTCTCACCCATCCACACTCTCAGCAAGATCAAGGAACCCAAGTGGAGGATGACATGGCAGTAGCCTTGTCCTTGAGTAAGGAGGGAGGTGGCTGTGAGTATTTGGGTGGCCAAATATACAGAGGCATCAAGAGGGCTGAGTCCTTGCTGCTGGGATCTCCACGTCCTTCTCCCCTGAGCACTTTACAATAAATCCAACCATGCTCATCTGGTGGAATTTCACGTTTCCTGAATTTTCTCCCCCATTTTCTTCCCTCGGAAACACAGAGTGTAAGGAGATGAGGGCTTTTGCTGCCCTGTGGTATCTTGACGTGCACTGAGATGAGCATTAGCACAGCTTGGTGATGCAGAGGGGTCCGTGTTCATGCTGAATTGTCACAAAATGGAAGAAGTCTCTTCTGTGCCATATGGGTTGAACTGCCTTAGAAATAGAGAAAACATCGTCCTTTCCATTACTTCACCAAAATCCCCTTGAATGCCCTATGGCTGGGCTGAGATGTACATTAATTTCAGATGCATGTTAATTGTACTGTTAACCTGCAGTGCTTCATTACCTGGTGTCCTGCAGTGCGTGGGTGTTGCAGGGCAGAGAATTTCTGTAGGGGACAGGCCACAGGCTCTCTGGCTTTTCTCTGTCTCTTTCATCTTCATGTTTCAGTGGTCTAATCTATGTTTTGTCTTATTAGTTTTATTCACTTCTGCCTTTCAAATCTTGACCCTAATCCTGGTGAGTTAACTAATTTTTAAAACTTTGTAAAGCCTCTACTGCTAGATTTCAGCTTTACTACACAAAGTAAAAATAATCATGAGTTACTGGTTGTGGTCCTTTTAATAGCTCTGGCGTGAAAATCAAAGCTTCTGTTTACTGTGATATTGACAGAAGGAAAAGCGGGTATTTCTCTTCCCCATCCTATTTGCTTCTTAAAGTATTTCCAGTAATGAAACTCAAGCCTCATTTATGGTGTCATTTTTTTCCTGCATTTGCAGGCTTTCCTTGCTTAGGTGGAGGACACAGAGCCTGTGCGCAGAGCCATGCACAGCGGTGTTGAGTGGCCAAAGACTTCAAAGAGAGGAGATGAGCAGGG